GAAGTATTATAACATTCACTCACATACTCATCCCCAGAATTGACTGTAGTTAATATTTCTCACGTTCACTTCATCTTTTTTATTTTAATCAAAGAAATAAAACATTCCAGTTAATGATGAAGCCTCCTTTGTACTCCCGTCAGCAAACCCATTCCTCACCCTCTCTCTGAGACAACCACTGTCATGAACTCAGCCTATCTCCTTCCAGAATATTTAAGAATATTTTGTAAGCATGCTTGTTTCCATGAGTAACGTGTGCAGCTGTAGGGGTGGGGGGCACATTGTAGATGCAGTCCCCTGGCTTGCCTGTCAGTACGACCCCGTGTGTTCTCCATGTCTCCACTCTGATCTGTGTGGAGAGGAAGCACCTAGGGAGCCTCTTCTTCGCTCTTCCATACGTGTGAGTATGAAGACAGAACAGCAGCCGGAAGCCACTGCGCGCCCACCGTGTGCCAAACACCCTCGCCCCATTGAACCCTTCCGACCAGTTCACCGCCATTGCATGTAGGGACCCAGAGGTCAGCCTGCGATCCGCTCACGCGCGTGATCTCCAGCTTGGCCTCACGGTACCAGCACATAAATGAGGTCTGAAACTCGAGGACCCAGGCGACAGGGATTAGTCAGTGCCCCAGCCTCTCGGTCAGAAAGTTCCTCACTGTGCCCTTGGGTGGAAGGAAAACAGACAGCCATTAAATCTGGCTTCTGTTGACTCTACACCTGGTGGCACTGGAATGTGGACAGATTGCCTATCTTTCTGCCTCAGTGTCTCACCTCAGAAATGGGATTGCAGTTGGCTGCCTCGGTACCTAACAGATTGCTGGCAACCAGATGTGATAGATCATGATCGTGAAGCACTTTGTGACCACGCAGTGGTCTGCAGACAGAGGACAGCTCCTGGCCTACTTTTTCACTCCTAAACAGACCACCTACCGTATGCCAGCCACAGGCGCCTGATTGCATGCGCCTGACAGTACTTAATCCTTCGTCAAGCAGCAGCTTTAGAGAGACTGTTCTCGAGCTCTTGTTTTTCTGGCTTAATTACCACTATGGCAACAACATCATTTTCTTCCTTTTTTCTTTTTTTAACTTCATATATATAGTATTTCAGCCTCATTATGGGTTAAATTGAATGTTATGGGTGGGTCTGGAAACCCAACCAAAATTTATAACTTTATTTCTCTGGAAAAATTGCTTCCAAGCTTCAAACAACCAATTACAAGGGAAGCGTTGGAACACCACCAGTTTGTGAGTTGGGACCAATGCACTGTTGACATTGTTCTCTCCATAGTTCACAGAAGGATAGCTGATCTCCCCAGAGAGATCAGGAAGCCCCTAAGGGCCAGCACTACGTCTTGCGTGGATCCCCTGGAACACTCAGGTGCCAGGTTCAAGAGTATATTCAAGAAATGCTTGCATAATTCCTCCAAAGCCCAGCCACCTTGACTGCCTCCAAGAAATGGGTGCTGATGGGGTGCCATGGGTACCCCTGGGAACCTCTGCAGTAGTCAGTAAATCACATAGTAACAAACTTGGTGACTCCCAGATGAGGCCCAGGAAAGCAGTGTGTCCTGTCCAGACTCTTTTGGCTGAATAGTAATTTAGTAGTAATAACAATACCATCTCCAGTAGTAATAACAGTACCATTTTTAGTGCTTTAGTACTTAGCACATGGTTCTAGATGTTTTATACTTGTTAATATATTTAATCTTTACCCAAAAAAGCTAGATATTTTTATTATCTTCATTTTACAGATGAGGAGCCTGAAGCCCAGAGAGGTTAAGCAGCTTGCCTAAGGTCACAGAGCTGGTAAAAGTGCAAAACTGAGATTCTGACCCAGAGCCCATGTTGTCAACCAGTGTGCCGTACCACCTCTAGTTCATGAAGGGCCAGGATCAAAGCCTCCTGTCTTGACTGTCACCCCCCTTGCCCTGCCCCGTTCCCCCCACTAGAAATATCTTGCATAACAGTATAGCGTTGGCATGTTCACTTGCTTCATGTCACGTGATCTGTGTTAAAACCTTGAGTAGTAGGCAGGACAGGTACTTTTCAAAAATGCTTACCTCTACATTCTACCAAATTCAGACAGTGCAGAAAAGTACAAAAGTATAGTAAATTTCTCTGGGAATTCTTTCATCCAAAGCTAAAATCCTGATCAACATTTTGACAAACATTCTTTCGGATCTCCCTCTGAACACATCTGTGTGTAGATACATATTTACACTCCCCGGTCCTCCGGAGCGCACTCCAGGTGAGGTTACTTCTGTAACCGTCAAGGGGGGGGGGGGGGGGGGGGGGGGCCTGTTCTTGAGCCTGCAGCTCAAGGCGGGGAGTGGTTCCTGTGGTCAAGAGCCCCTCCTGCGAGTAACAGCTTGGGACTTCAGTCCAGGGTAGGGCTTTCTGTTTTAGTGTAAGTGCTCGAAGCAGAGACCACATATGCTTTGACACCCGTTGCTCCTGTGCAGACACTTCCTCCGTCACCCAGTCATGGCCGTGAGCCAAACTGGGTGCCACGCCCCTAAGACTCCGTTGCCTCCCTGGGCATGCTGCCTGCTAAGGAAGGGACTCAGGGTACTTGGCAAGGAGGGATATTTTATACAGCTGTCAGTAAAGCTCAATAAATATGGCAGTGGAGCCTCGTGTGGACTGAGTGATGGCTGTAGTTTCCTGGCGCTGTGAGATCGCGGCTCAGGCAGCCGTCCTCCAGTTGCACAGTGATTGCATACACGGCCCCAACGTGACAAGGACTTCCGGGGCCACCTTATCATGTCCCCATCGAGCAGCATTTAAAGTTGTTTGCAAGAAGTTGAGGGGAAATGGGATCTGATACTTGGGTAGGGAGAGATGCTCATTACCTCACCCTAACCAGCATCCCTTCCTCCTGATATTTTGTTTTAGGGTCGGTATCCAGTTTTGCTGAAAATGAAATCATCTTGCAACTCTCAGGCTGTGTTAGTGAAAATGAACTCTAATGTGATTAGATATTAATGCGGTGTAATGGAGGATTGGTATTAAATTGAGGCCTTCTGATCTTATTACTCCACAAATGCTCCCTCCCGCTTGGGCTGCTGCCCTGCCAGCCCTGCTTCCCCAGGCACAGGCAGGGGGCACACACGCCCAAGCCGTGAGCCCGCTGCCCAGGGAGCCCGGCTCTGCCCAAGGCGACTCCCGTGAGATCTCCCTCCCTTCACTGCCTTGGGCTCCCAGCCCTGTTGTGAGAGGAGGACAGGTGGGACCTCAGGAGGCATCATTTGGATCCCCGAGCACTCTCAGAGCCACAAGCATGTTGTTGAAGACCGTGAGCCAAGTTTTACCTCTATGTCCAGAAGCACCTAAGGATTTTTTTGATAGGCATGCAGCTAGAAATCTAAGAACACAGTCTGCACCTCCTCCACACCCAGCCCCTCTCCACTCCAGTCATTTTTCTGAAACCGATTGGAAGATAATAGTTGTCAGCGGCTGCTGTCACTTGTCCTGGCTCTGTCTCCCTTTCCTGGAGGGCTGGTCTGAGAAGCAGGCAGTGGCCCAGACTCAGTGTGTGCGTCCCTTAGGAACAGGGATGGGCCTCTGCTGCCCCACGCAGCGTGGACCCCTCGCTTCCTCTGACCTGCCAGAGGAAGGATGCCAGTCTGTCAGTCACACAGCTCACCTCAGAAGTGACAGGTTTGCCTGTGGGAGCCCAGGCCCGGGGTTGAAGCCCCACAGGGCCTCCCTCTGTAGCCCTGGCCCCAGCCCACGGGCTGCATCCCATCCAGCAGACTCACCAGGGGAGCCACGTGGGTGTGGGAGCAAAACACCCCCCCACCCCCACCCCCACCGAAGACATGGGCCAAGAGTGCAGTCTCTGGGGATGATCAGATGGCATCACCTTCACATATGAATGATAGCATTTTTGCAAAGAGAATGATTTTTCTTACGCTGTTTCCAGAAAACTGCTTTCAGAGGCACAGACTTTGCACACAGGATGGTAACGACTTTTTAATGACCTGAAGGGGCCTGGGTGTCCGGGCAGCAGTGAATCAATCTCAGTGGGAGGCTCACAGTGAGAGAGAAGATGGAACACCTGAAACCAAAGGGGGAAAAAAACAAACCACAAATACATATATTTTCTTTGGTAGCATTGCTTGGTAATTAGACAATTACAGGAAACAGCTTCCCAGCAGCTGGCATCTCCACTGTGTGAGCGGAGGAGGGATGGCAACAACTGTGAACTCCTCACATTTATTACAGAAAATATTATTGGAGTTTACAGTCGTGGGTGCCGAGCTCTCCTCCAGTGCATTCTGATGAGCTGTGAGCCTTAAACCAAGAGCAGAGCTCCTCCTCTCGGGGTTGCTTCAGAGCCTGCCTGGCTGGGCTTTAAAGCAGCTGTCTTTGAGCCCGCCCAGAGACTGGCAGGTCCTGAGAATAAGCCCTTGGGGGGATGCCTTTGGAAGCAGGAAAGGAGGGGGAGGTGGAGGCCTGTGGAGAAACTGCCTCTTCTTCCCCAGGTGCCACCACTTGCACTCATGGCAGTGAGTGAGCCCCTCCTCCCCCTCCCCTTGCCCTGCCCTGCTCAGTCCACATTCCTGCCCTGGTTCAAAACTCTCCTCCCAGAACCCACCACGCCTCTCAGGCGCACGCCCATTCAGCCAACAGGCCCGTTTCACAGATGAGGAAATGTGTTTTGTGAACTCTCACTGACCTTGATCACTTTTCGGCCTCACAATTGTTCCCTCGTGAACTTGGTCTGTACTTTGTGTGTGTTGATGGGGGAGCTTTATGTGAGTCCCAGGTTGCCTTCACAGAAGGCAGGGACACTACATACTGACTGCCTTCCTCAGGCACACATGAGGGAGAGCCCTGTTCCCATTCCCCTTCCCCACCCCCCGCCCCTGCCACCTCACAGGCCTCCTGAGGATGGAGGACAGGCACCCTCCTTCCTCAGCACCTGGCTCCCCCTGCCTGCCGACAGGGTTAACCGTACAGTCTAACCAGGCAAATGGTTGCGCTTCCTCTCACAGGTCCTGGCAATCTGTAACTTTTGAAAGACAGCCTGCCTCTTTCATCCGAATCGTGGGAACACACAACACAGCAAATGAGGTAAGGGTCTCCTTTCATGAAAGACGCTGTGCTGTTTCATGATGTCCAGGTAAATGCTACATCCCGAGTTAAGTGGAACTGTTTGTTCTCCCCGCTAATGGCCTGTTGTCCAGACAGCTCGGTACAGAGGAAAGTCCTGCTCCTGCACAGTGGGGATGTCATTATCATTTCTAGATGTCTCTTCACTGGGAAATGGGAGCCAACTCCTGTGGCTTTGCTTACTCCCACCAGCCTCCCTATGGAATCGGCACCACAGAGACCTTGAGAGGTCAAACAACCCTGTCCTCAAGTCTTCTGCCCTCCCAGACGACAGCTATCTCAGAGGTCCCTCAGTGCTCTGAACATGGTGTTTAAGGGACCCCGGCCCCACGGGACCGCCATGGAAGACAGTTGCTGGTTTTCTCTGCCTGTCTATTCTGTCCTGGGCCAGACTGCACATAAATGTTTGTGAGTGGGCCTGTTCCTCCACTGGTGTCCAGGTCTGGATCGTCCCAGCAGATCATGTTGTTTGTAGACGTCCCTTCATTTTTGGATTTAACGGGGGGAGAGTGGGCAGGTTGTTTCCCCCCATTTTGGGTACCCACAGTCAGGGCAGCAGTCAGGTGATGGGTCTGAGCCTCAAACCGCCAGGCTGTTTTCTCGGGAATGTAAATGGCCCCAGAAAAAATGCACTGGATCCCTTGGATCAGGAAAGAGAAGACAGTGCCCTTGGTGAACAGAGAAACCAGGACACTTGAGTGTGAGGGAGGGCATGATCCATAATCACACTAGGACGGCAAGTGTAAACCAGACATGAGCCAGGCACGCCTGGACCGTCATCCCCTCGACAATATGGATTTCCAGTGAGCTCACAGGGGCACCTGCGGATTCAGTCACACCATTTAAGATGTGAATAGTGTCAGTCAACTGTAAGTTCATTACTTACCTTTTCTGTTCTTTGGGTGTTGAGTGAGCACTAGTGGCCACTCTGTTGATTTCATCTGCTTATTACACCCTTGCTTTTTATACAGTCATGAGTGTTGAGTGTGAACCTCTGAAGGACTGCTAGTTAAAGGCAGGAATCACAGGGTGCCTGAATGGCTCGGTTGGTTGAGCGTCCAACTCTTGGTTTTGGCTCAGGTCATGATCTCATAGTCCAGTGGGTTGGAGCCCCATGTCGGGCTCCATGCTTCAGCATGGAGCCTGCTTGGTATTCTCTGCTCCTCCCCCCACTCTCGTTTGTGTGTGTGCATGCTCTCTCTCTCTCTCTCTTTCTCTCTTTCTCAAAATAAATAAACTTAAAAAAAGACAGGAATCATAAGGAACAGGAAAGCTGGAACTCAAGAGGAAATGAAAGGCATCAAAATAGTAACCATTCTGTAGTTTTCACCTCAACATGGTATTTCTCAGCTCTACACAAGACTGGCTTCATGGGCATGTGACCAGGGCAGTTGTGTGAGGCTCCACACCCAGAAGGGGACTCTGTGCTTGGGGTTTATGTTCTCCAGCACCATCTTGAATTCTTCACAATTTTACCTGTGAATTTGTTTTCATAATAGGAGCCCCATGGGGAAGTGGGGCACTCACCCGGGGCCGGGAGCCTCAGTTTACACACAGGCCCACCTCTGCCCCCTCTCACCTTCCCAGGACAGGTTCTCAGCCACCCACTGACCCCTGGTACCTAGACCTGTCCAGCCTCCCCCCCTCCTAGCCTGACCCATGCCTCCCACCACACTCCACTCCCCCTGGAGGCCCAGCGTGTTTGCAGGGAAGGTCAGGGTCTGGTGTGACTCTCACCTGAGTCACGGGATTGGGCCCCAGGCGCCTATGTGGGTCTGCCCCGGCCTCGGAGTCCCCTTGCCCAAGGGATTGCAACATTAAGTAGCAAAAGAAAACCCTGTGTCCAGTCAAGAGAGGAACTGTGGGAGAAAACATAAAGCTTTATTCCTGCTTTTTTGAACAGAAGGCTCTACATTTTCATTTTGTGCTGAGCCCTGCACATTACATAGCTGGCCCTGGGTTCGTGCATTGTGGTTGTCAAATCAGAATTCTCCAGAGCATACCAGGGTGTTTCTGGTACTTCAACTCACATTCTCCAAACTGAAAATATTGTGATAATTTATACTCATTTTGCCTTTTTATTCATTTGCATTTGCATTTTATTCATTTAGAACAGTGTGCCTACAGTGTGCTTCGTAGAGAGCAGAGCTTATAAACAGTAGTCTGAGACTTTCTCTCTTACCTCTTCGATTCTAACCAAACCTGAAAATTATAAAAGTAAACAAATTGATATTTGTTAAGGCACAAAATTAAAGAACTCTAAATATCAGGTCATAAAAGCACTTTTTTTTTTTTTTTGATGAGGCAACAAAAGTAAATTTGAATCTGAATCAATGTATATTTGAGGCCCAAACCAAATACCCTATTTTTTAAAATTTTTTTCTAATCTTTTTAAAAAATTGTAATTTCAGTAAAGTTAACATACAGTGTTATTATTAGTTTTAAGTGTACAATATAGTGATTCAACCGTCCCATACATTACTCAGCATATTTTTTAAATTTTGCCAATAAATCCCAATTTTTTTGCCACTTATACGTACATTAAGTTATGTGTTTTTTATTTACCAAGTTGGAAAACAATTTAAATTTATCTTCACATAATATATCAAGCTAAAATTGAATATTTTTCATGTGCAGTCACTTCTCATATAATACATCCCCAAAAAACAAACCAGTTCTGTCTTTAATCCCTACATGGGACTCTGCAGTCTAGTATTCCAGCAGAAGGAATTCTAGGTCAGAGAAGGCCAGGGAGCACTGGGATGTATCTAGGAGGGTCTCCCGGCACTCAGCCCCAACACTGTCACCTACCTCAGTAACCAAATGAGGAATAATTTCCCATTACAGAACCCTAAAGTTGGAGTGCAAGACCTTCTCTTCCCCAATGAGTTTCCAGAACTGTCTATGCAGGGAACTCCAAGTACACTCACCAGCCCGTCTGTACAGGTTGACTAATTAACCGGTGATCTGTTGCATCTGGCTGAGCAGCAACTTGCCAGGCTGCCTGACTGAGTCAGTTATTGTTCAGGGAAAAAAGCCTCAATGTGGTGTTGCCAACTGGGAAACATCTGAAATCATAACATGAATAATGAATGGGATCATAAGGCAACACCCACAAACTGTCTTTCTCAGAGCACACAAGAAGACGCAAAAGTGCTGAATCTCCCTGAGTGTCAAGAATCTAGCACTCTCTCAGGGCCCCTGGGTGGCTCAGTCAGATGAGTGTCCAACTTCGGCTCAGGTCATGATCTCATGGTTCGTGGGTTCAAGCCCCAGGTCAGGCTCTGTGCTGACAGCTCAGAGCCTGGAGCCTTGCTTCAGATTCTGTGTCTCATTCTCTGCCCCCACCCCCTTGCACTCTGTCTCTCTCTCTCAAAAATAAATATTAACCAAAAGAAATTTTTTTCTTTAAAGAATATAGCAGCTCTCAAAGCATTCTCTCCTACAGCATACTAGTTTTGGAAAAAGTATCACCTATCTTAGAGAACAGTGGGAATGTGTCTAAGTTGGGGTGGTGATGTTCAGAGGTGTGAGAGACAAGGCTGTAGTATGGGAAGAGGGGTGACTAAGGCTGGTGGGGCAGGACTCCTGGGGAAGGCAGCCCGGGAGGAGAGCCGTGATGGCACAGCCAGCCAGGGAAAGGAGGCTGGGGCAGAGTCAGGAAACCAGGATGGCAGGGAGATGGGGTCCAGGGTAAGCCCATCTCTAGTCCCATGGAAGCCAGAAATCTGCCATCAGGATATTGGGGTCTGGGCCCCTCTGTCTCACAGTTGCGGGTGGTATAGGGAGAAGCAGAACTTCCTCAGCCTGTTGCTGCTTGTTTGCCAAATGACACCTGTGGCCTTCATTTAGTCAGAAGCGGGACCTTTAGATACTGAATGTTACCAAGCCACAGGCTTTGTGCTAATTTCAAGAAGCGTAGATGGGATTGGTTTTGAGCATGTGTGGGTAACAGAGAAATGTGGGTAACTGCCACATCTCCCAGGGAAGACTGTTTTCTGCAGGTGCTGCCCCCTCCAGGGAGAAGGTCTGACAGGGGATGGCAGGGAAGGCCCAGCTCAGAGGTTCCTCTGACTTGAACACTCCTGGGGGGCGCGGGTGGTCTGTTTTGGCGGCAGGTGGAAAGTGGCCCACACAGTGTGTCAGTGGCTGGGGCTACTAGCAGCTTGCGGCTGTGGTGCTGGCACCTACCCCGACCCCGGATCCCGGCTGCTGCTGGAACAGCAGAGGCCTCTGAGCTGAAACAGCCTGAGATTTCCTGCCCCGCGTGGGTGTGCGTCCCACCCCAACCAGCCAGGCCTTCCTGCACTCGAGGTCCGCCTGCGACCGCTGCATGTTAATTTCCCCGCTTCCCTGCGATTGGGCTCTCAGGTGACAGCAGCCTCAGCCACTGTGGAGGTTCAGATTTCTTGATCACCTGTTTTGGCACGCTTCTGATTTCCTGCAGCATTTCATCCCTTTCCTCTGGGAAGTGTGTGTCTGCTGCTGGCATCTGTCTCTCATCTATCCTTTGTGAGCACCGCAGCAATGAATTCATTTCATCTTTTAGCTACGTTTACGACTTCTGTCAATAAATTTCCCTAACGCTTACCTTACAGACTCCACCGCTGCCTCGTGTGACCTCCCACTCCTCGTGTACTTGGCATCATCCTTGTCACTTATCTTCGCTTCTTACGCTTCCTCTCCCTCCCTGCCAGCGTGTGCTCTGTCATCCCCTGCTCCGCAGTCTCCCTGTGCTTGGCGTGTTTCCCACACGGCTCGCGTTTCTCCCCTTTACCCTCGGTTGCCTTTCTTGCATGTCTTCTCTGCCCACTCGCAGGGTTTCCTTTGTCTTCTTGTCACGCTTGGCACTAGATGGCAGACACGTGTCTTTTAGCACGCCCGCCCTCTCATCCTGCTCTCCTTCAGTTGTTTCCATTTGTCTGATTCTCCCCAGGGCCAGTGGCCCGAAAGGTCCTCCT